ACAATTTCCGAGATCCCTGTAGTGAGAAGTGAATTTGTAACAGCCTGTATAGGCATAACAATTCGATAAACTATAGTACTTTAAATATCCAAAATGTCCTTGACAAATCCCTGCAAATTAAATCTCACGTTGATTATAACAGACTTCCTTGATAGTCATGCGACATCAGAATAGTTATCGGTTTGATTTAAAATAGTTGTGCCATATGTAGAAATTGCAAAAGAGTATTTTGAACATTTGTAAGTTTGTAAATATAATTACATTTCTATATAACTCCAATGCTTCTTTCCAGTCCTCTTCTTCAGACGATTTAGATAATAATTCTATTGTCAGAACATTAAGAATTTCTTTCAGAATTTTATTAGAATTGTTCAATGATTCTAATAGTTTTTTAGCCACTAAAGATGATTCCATTGCTTCTTCGCATAAATTTAGTTTTATATAAATATTTGTCAATAGAACCCATGCATGTAATAGACCAGGTCTAAGAGAGACAGCTAAAAAAAAGGAAAAGTCAACGTAAAAAACAATATTTTCTACAAATTTTATAATACAACTAAAAGATACATAGAACCTTATACAAATAATCATCTGACAATGTTTAAATATTCTATACGAATTAATAATAACTTTGGTCACTTCATAAGAATTAAGGAAGCATAAGAGAATAAGGAGCAAATATCTTCTTGAGCCGGTTCTTCCTTGTGGCTTGTTGCTACGACTTTTCAAGAATTATCTCCGAGAAACTGTGGTGTTTGGGGCACAAAAATTGATAACTAAATAATGGTAAACCCTTGTAGGAATTTACTGATTATGATGAATTTTTCCAGTACAGTATGTCGTCGTGAAGTGAAGTGTCTCATTGAACTTTTACATTCATGGTCGAGAGTAGAGAGTGGAGAGTTTAACTTTAACAAATTCTGTACCTTAATAATAAAAGCTGGTCGTAAAATTCCTGAAACACGTCAATTTTGACTTTCAATGGAACCTATTACAAAAAATGTTTGTTTATTTGTTTAAATATGTGGGGGGATAGCAGCAAGGCAACTTTTTTTAAATGGAAGAGTAGGTTGATTTTTTTAAATCTTATTCAATTACACGTACAATTATGTATTTTTTGTTACTTTTTATATGCAATGTTTTGGAAAAAATAAAATAAGGAAATGTTTACCAAAACTACTTTAATGCTGACAATACCCTTCATATCACATTTTTGTATTCATAGAAAAATAATTTTGCGATTCGGGAACGGAATTTAAGAATCAACTAATTAGAGAATTTTGCCAACTACATAAAATAGATATTCACTATACGACAGTTCGAAATTCAATTTCTAACTCGCCCTTCGAGAGATTTCACTTTACACTATTAGAACAAGTACGATGCCTCAAAACCGACAATCCAAATAATCCATTATCTAATCTAATGAAAATCGCAGTCATAATTCACTTGTGTCGGTAGCTCCCATGTTACTTGTATCATGAATGCAATGCGTGCTGTTAGAGTGAACTGCTTCGAGAAAAAGCTCTCAAATTTTATAGTTTAAATAACAATTGTATTGTGATTTGGTGCATAGTGTTTTTACCCGCATATCTGTGGAATTTGTTTTTCTTGTGGCTCCTTTTTTATATACAAAATTACTGATATTTTAATCAATATCTACATTTTCTTGTTTACTGATAAGATTTGACAAATACTGTCCAAGCCATAGCGCCAGCGGCGCTACGTCTGAGTGTGGGAAATGTAAATACAAGAAAAATGATGGACTTGATGGATACGAGGGCCCTTCTCAAAAATGGTACATACCATTATTCTTGTGTCCATACGGATGGAAGCTGAATTTAAACTTGTGGAGAAATGCAGGAATTTATTTTATCTTTGCGACCACTGCAAACTTAAATGTGTTGTTATCGATAAGTTGATGTTCCTAAAATCAGTTCCAGCCTTAACATTGTAGTATAATAACCCCAGGTTCGATAAAAAAATAAAAGTAGTTGTGGCCAAAAATATGTGATCGTCATAAGGAATAACTACGTTGTGTGTATCTATTTTTTTATTGACCGGAAGGCGCTGGCTACTAACTTTGTAGAGGGGATGTATGGTTTAATTTTATAAAACAAAAACAGAGTAAATACACCTAACTTTACTATCTACATACAACAGTCCTCAAACTAAACATGTGACAAATAGAATGAACAACAAAAACATTAACAACCATTTAACATAAAATGAGAGTGACAGGCTCACCTAGAGCTCCTGTGGGGAAAGAGCATGGCAGAGAAACCCATGATCGTTGCTCTTACCACCCAAATATAAATACAAAACAACCGCTAACCAAAGGCATAAATTAAGATCCTTTGCTAATGATAAATAAGTCCTCGTCTCATTTAATGCGTCACTAAATGTCATCTGTTAACCCATATTAGTCATACACACTTCCAAGTAAAACTGAAGAGGTTTGGTGTTAGTTAGCCGGCAGGGCCGGAAGGTACTGGAGTTCCATCATACGGGAGGCAATCCAGCTATTGAGATTTCGGAAGATCCTTCATAACACTGGAGTCCCATACGGGAGGCAATCGAGCTTAATCCAGATTCGTTCCGCACGGGCGAAAATGTTAGTAAATTCAACAAGGCTCGTATAGACGTGTGACATAAAGTGAGCACAAGAAATCAAA